CAGCAGCACGATCTGAAATGCTATGGCGATCACATTCCTTTGAGATATTTGGAATGTTTGCTCTCATCTGATTTTCTCTGCTGTTCCAGTAGTTGGAACCTTATGTATTGAGGAAAAATGGACATCAGTATCGTTGTCAGTTTCAGTATCAGAAGACGAACTGAATTCAACAATATTTGAAGACAATAGGGAGTTAGATGTAGTGGCTGTTGTTGGAGTTTTGTAAATATTGGAAAGTTTTCTTTTGCGATTATCGCGTTCTTTTAATCAATTTGTAACAACTTTATCTATACATCCAATCATCATATTTCTTGTACTTCTTTGATCTTCCAAAAATGGTCTTTGCAACTGGTACCTTAAAACTTTTCTCACAATTGCAGTGATTTACGTCCAAGCATTTGCAGACTGCGATGTCAGACAACTGGGAATTAGCTTCTGTACAAAACTTTTGCATCTTTGCTTGATAGTTAGGATCATTCTTTCGCCTCTTTAAGGGCTTGAGCATATTTCGATGTTTGTCATGAAGTTCTTTTATCTTTGCCATAATCCGCTTGTGTGTTATAATTGCAATCGATGCTTTGTGCCACAATGCTTCGACTTTCGATGAAACAAAACTTGAAACTTCAGCAATTGAAGGGATCTCTGCAGATCTATATGTCATTTCGCCTTTAAGGAACAAGTAATATTTCATCACATCAGCATTTGTGGGAAGAACGCTGTCTGATAAATATGAAGGATTTCAAAAAATTAGGCAATTGGTACGCAGCCGTGTCTTGTGCTTCTTACACCCACTAACACCAGCCATTCTTGTTATTTTTGTTCGGACGTCACTCACAGATGCGAGGTTGTTTGACTTTTCCAATCTAAAATAATTTTCAAATCTAAAATAATAATATAAAAATAAAATAATTAATTTCTAACATAATAATTCAAACAAAATAATGTAAATACTGAAATTTGTAATTATAGGAAATTATTAACTTTTTTTCCAAAAACCACAAAATGCACGAAAAACGCCAATTTTCGCGTGCTTTGGGGCAGACCTAAGAATTAACCTAGGGCAAAATGCTTTTACCACAGTTTACCTTGTACTAAATGGCAACTTTTACATACCCAGCCAACTTGAATTTGCAATGATAGGAAATTATTATTTTTAAGCCAAAAATGCCAAAAATAACAAAATATTCATATTTTCAAGTGCAATTGGGGCAAACATATATATTTATCTAGAGCAAAATGCTTTTACCACAGTTCATTTTGTAATGATAAATTGTTTTTCTTTTAACTTCCATATCAATTCTGTTGTAAATAACGTTAGATTACCTTTTATAGCAATTTTTTTACTTTCATCGTGTGTTCCAAAAGGATTGCAGCACTTAGTAATTTTTCTCTCAAAATATTTTCCATAGAATTGCTCATGATAACAACATATAATTCTTATTGAACTATATTTTTCTTTTAAATTTGCTCGCCATATTATTTCTTTTTGTTTTTCACTAGGAAGATCTTTAAATTGAACAAAACCTTTTTTTCTAGAAAATCCAGTTTTGTGGCAATGAATGTTAAGATATTTTCCAATGTCACATTTCTCCATATTAAATACTTTTATTATTTATTACATGCCAAAAAAATGTAAAATATATAAAATTCAGAGTCATTCTTTAGGAAATTACAAATAAGTAAAGTATCTTTAAAAAGAACAAAACAAAACTTGTGGTTGTTTTTCATATAATAGGAGGTTTTCATTCACCAATTTGAAATAATGAAAATAAATTGTTTCTCAAACTTAAGCAAAAAAAAAATATGTTTTTAAATTGGGTTTTATGTTAAAAAAAAAAAAGAAAAAAAAAAGGGAGATAGGGGGGGAGGAAATTTATCCAAGGCCCCCTGGACCTCCCTTGAACTATGCCTATAAATGTCCCAAACTAGTCAACAAATAACACTTTTTGATCTTTTACTCAAATAAATGTTTTTAAAAATATTTTAATTGCTTTTGTTACAAAATTTAAATTTTTCTAAAAAGACAACTTCTTTAAATGCAAACTTTGATCAAGTATTAGAGAGACAATTGATGAATCTACTTTTTTTCAGTAGACCTAAGATAAAATAATGATATACAATTAAACTTTTTACTCGAGATTTTGGGCCACAGTCTTCATTTTACCTCCAAAAGTCATTAATTTATTATTTAGTCAAAAATTTTGAATAAAATTGGATAAACGAGGCATTTCTTAAGACAATCGAGTCTTGAGGGTGCTATTTTTTGATTCCTCAAGTAAAAACCTATTGGGGTACCAAATTTTAGGAAATTTCCCCTAGCCATTATGAAGATACTTAATGTCAAAGTTGCTTTATAGTTGCTTCAGAAAATCACATCTATCTATCAAATTAATCACCCCAGATCAACCTAAAAAGTTATAGTAAGACAAGTTTGTTTTAGTTGCTAAAATTATACCAAGTAATAAAAGGATTCAATATATTATATA